CAGGATATGTCCAGGGATGGTAATGGTGGTGTCTGGGAGATTGTCAGTAAGATATGATTCTGTGAGTATGACTATGTCAGGCTGTTGTTTAACTGGTCTGTGAGACAGCTCTCCCAACTTTGGCACTAACTCCCAGATGTTAGTGGGGAGACTTTGCAGGGTCGACAGGGCTGTTTCTGCCATTGTCTTTTCCGGTGCCTAGGTCGATGCCAGGTTATCTGTCCAGTTTCATTTCTTTGAGACGTTGTAGTGATTTGTACAATTGAGTGGCTTGCTGGGCCATTTCAGAGGCAATTGAGAGTCAACTACATTGCTGTGGGTATGGAGTCACATGTCGGCCAGACCAGGTGAGGGGTGGCAGATTTCCTTCTGTGAAGGACATTAGTGAACCAGATGGGTTTTTCCTACAATTGATAATGATTTCATGGTGATCAGTAGATTCTTAATTCCAGACATTTTTTTCCCTAATTATTGAATTCAAATTTCACCATCTGCCATGGTGGGATTTGAACCCTGGTCCCCAGAACATTAGCTGGGTTTCTGGATTAATAGTCTAGTGATAATACCACTCAGCCATTGTCTACCCTGTTCCACATACAACAACACTGAGAGTATCTCACACCTGATGATCAGGTTTTTACCCATAATGGAGAGAGACCCTTGCTCCCATCTGCTTAGTTTCTGGCTTGCTTTGATGACCTGCTCCTCCCAGGTCTAGGTGTGCACCCAGCCCCTCCAAACTAAGTACCTTGGCACCCAAGGCCAGTTCAAACTGATCGCAGGTGTTCATGAATCTACACACTTACAGCAGATCCGAGCAGAAAATGGCTATGTAATCCATGTACAGGGAGGCTTCTTCTCTCAGAATGCTCCTAAGCTCTGTGCCATCCTCTATTGGATGCACTTCCTCCTGCTTATCACCAGGGGGTTCTTCCTCACTCCACTGATCAGTTGTGGTGATGAGCCGACTTCTCCCAGAATGCTCCTCAGAGAAGTCTCTCTGCCATCCTCTATTTGTGCTATGGAAAGTTTCCACCTACTTTGTTTTGAACCCTCTCAACTTTGAACACCTCTATTAAATCCAGTCTTAACTTTCTCTTCTTGAAGGAGAACAATCAACAAAATCTCAGCACTTGACTTTTCTCTCTGGAACTGTTCTTGATTTGCTTATGTGCCTTTCTAATGCCTTTGAATCTTTCCCGAACAGTGATCTCTAGAATACTTCCATTGCAACTGAACCAAGTGTTTTCACAATTACTTTCTTATTCTTGATCCTTTTTTAAGAAGTGAACTTACCAACTGATACTAAGCTATCCATTCCCGAAGATTAAACTGACTAAATAGTCTTATTAGAAGTCTTTAAAATTCTTGTCTTTATTTTCAGATCCCTCCATAACCTGATCTCTGTCCCCCTCCAATTCTGTCCTTCTGCCTTAATTCCTCAATTAGTAGTCACGGCTTTAGCAACCTGGGCACTGAGGTCTGACACTCCCTCTTGAAAACCTTGCTGCCTCTTCACTTCCCTTCTGATTTCAAAATCCAGGACTTTGATCAAATCTTTCAGTTAGTGGTCTGAATATTTCAATATGGCTTGGTATCAAATATTGCTTGATAACAGTGCTACAAAGTATATGGTTCATCACTTGAAATGTCACAATATTCAAGGCTATGGGGCTAGTGCAGGAAAGCGGGATTAGTGTTGATAGTTCGGCACATGATAGGCTGAAGGGCCTCATCTGTGCTGTATGGCTCTATACATGCCTTGGAGAAGATGGAAGTTGCTACTTAAATCTAAGTTGTTATTGAAGGGTGGTATGTTGGTGAAGCAACGGCAGGAAAAGATTATTGTGCAAAGGAAACAAAATGGATGGTATTTTCAGTTGAAACCACAGGAAGGAAGCAGTCTCTCATTTGTGCTGGTCATATGGAATCATTTCCCCCTTAAAAGCTTAAGTGCAATCATTACTAGGGGAGATGCAAGATGAAAAGGCTGTCACAGTGGTTAAGTTATGCCCTTAGCTTATGGGTCCACCCATGATAGAAGCTATGGAAACAGCAGTGGACAGGAGGCTTGAATGCTTGCTTGAAAGAACAGAATAGTGCCCAAGGAGTAAAAAAGAAAATTGACTCACAAGCATTATTCTGAAGGAAAACATAGAAGAGAATGCAAGCTGCGCTCTAACTAAGAAACGAAGAATATAGTTAATTTCCTCATAACAGTACTGAGAGATGTGAATGGCACACTGCATGCAAATAATATCACTGTGTGTGGTTCCAAATCAATAGCCTGCCTGACTTGTTGAGCTAGATGGGTGGGAGTCATAAAATCATAGAATCTCTACAGTGTCGAAACAGGCCCTTTGACCCAACAAGTCCACACCGACTCTCAGAGCATCCCACCCAGACCCATCCCCCTATAACCCACCTGATCTACACATCCCTGAACACTATTGGCAATTTAGCATAGCCAATCCACCTTGTTTGCACATCTTTCAACTGTGGGAGGAAACCGGAGCACCCGGAGGAAACCCACGCAGACACATGGAGAACATGCAAACTCCACACAGTCAGTCACCCGAGGGTGGAGTGGAAAGTTTCTCTTTTTTTCATCAGGAGTGCAAAGGTAGGAAGGGGGAATACATCTTTTTAGAGGTGCTCTCTGCATATCAAGAGTAACATAAGATGGTACTACTCCCTTTGAGACTCTTCAGCTGACATCCAAAATCATTCTCAGGAAGGATCACTTGACCCAAAACATTAACTCTGATTTCTCTCTACAGATGCTGCAGAACTTGCTAAGCTTTTTGCAGAGATTTTTGCGACATCTTTAGCCACTGGTGAAGTTCTGGAAGAATGGAGCATTGCTAATGTTGTTCTACTGTTTAAGAAAGATAGCAAAGACAAGCCAGGAAACAACAGTCCAGTGAGCCTGACATCAGTGGTAGTAAGTTATTGGAGAGGATGCTGAGGGACAGGATCAAACAACATTTGGATAGTCAAGGACTGATTAGGGATAGTCAGCATGGATTTGTGCGTGGGAAGTCATTTCTGACAAATCTTTTAGAATTTTTTGGATAGATGACCAAGAGGATAGATGAGGGTTGGACAGTGGGTGTTGTCTATATGGACTTTAGTAAGGCCTTTGACAAGGTCCCACATGGCAAGTTAGTCATGAAGGTTAGGTCGTATGGGATCCAGGGAGAGCTAGCTAATTGGATTCAGAGTTGGCTCGATGGTAGGGAGCAGACGGTAATGGTTGAAGGTTGTTTCTCAGACTGAACGCCTGTGACTAATGGTGTGCCACAGGGGTTGGTGCTGGGACATTTGTTATTTGTTATTTACATAAATGATCTGGATGTGAATATACAAGGCATGATTAGTAAGTTTGCGGATGATACAAAATTATGAGGTAGTGTTGATAGCGAGGAAGGTTATCAAAAATTACAGAGGGATCTGATCAGATGGGAAAGTGGGCTGAAGAGTGGCAAATATAATTCAATAGAGATAAGTGTGAGGTGTTGCACTTTGGAAAGTCAAACCAAGGTAGGACTTATACAGTAAATGGTAAGGTCCTGAGGAACAGAAGGACCTAGGAGTACAAGTGCATATCTCGTTGAAAATGGTGTCACAGGTGGACAGGGTGGTGAAGAAGTCATTTGGCATGCTGGCCTTCATCGGTCAAGGTATTGAATATAGGAGTTGAGATATTATGTTATGGTTGTATAAGTTGTTGGTAAGGCCACATTTGGAGTATTGTATGCAGTTTTGGTCACCCTGTTATAGGAAAGACACAGTTAAACTTGAAAGTGTGCAAAGAAGATTTACAAGGATGTTGCCAGGTCTACTAGTCCTGAGTTACAAGAAGAGATTGGCCAGGATAGGACTCTATTCCTTGGAACGTAGGAGAATGAGGGGTGACCTCATTGAGGTGTATAAAATCATGAGGGGCATAGATACAAGTAGTCCTTTTTTTCCCAGGGATGGGGAATTGAAAACTTGAGGGCATAGGTTAAAGGTAAGAGGGGAAAGATGTAAGAAGGGAAAGATGTAAGAGGGACCTGACGGGCAACTTCTTCACGCAGAGAGTAGTGCATATCTGGAATGGGCTGCCAGAGAAAGTGGTTGAGGTATGTACAATAGCAACATGTTAAAAAAAAAAAATTGGTAGGTACGTGGATGGGAAGGGTTTAGAGAGCTATGGAATAAACGCAGGCAATTGGAACTAGCTGAGTGAGCACCATGGTCAGCATGGACCAGTTTGGGCCGAAGGGCCTGTTTCCATGCTGTATATCTCTATGACTCTATGACTTTTCCAGCAATTTCTGATTTTGTTTCAGATGTATAGCATCCACAGTTCTTTCAGTTTTCATCCAAAATCATTCATATGTACAAATAAGGGACCTAACACTTGATTCTAGCCCTGCTTCTACTTTGGTTTATCCTGTGATTGTTAGTGACAACACTAAGTGCCTCCAGAAAACCAGCTCTGAACAGTACGTTTCTGATAAAGGGCAAGTACTTTCCACAATCCCCACTGCTTCTGACAGCTTTGAACTAATTTCATTCCAACTCTTGCCTTCCAACCTATCTCTTACCGAGAGATTGAAATGTATATGCTCTTACCTTAGCACTAAGGTCTGAAGACAAAATCATTGGCTGCTCGAACCTCAAGATTGGAGCATACACAATTTCCCATTTTATCTCCTGGTGTTCTTGAAAACCTGTGGGAGTTCTCTTTCATTTCAGAAACCCAAGTTTTTTTTATTACTTTATACTCATTTGAAAACATGGACAAATATTTAATAATGTCCTCTTGGTTAATATCATATTTGATTTAGAAAATGTTCAAACTCTTAATTATTGCTGTGAAGCTCTTATAGTTAGTTCTGGTGACCTGAAACCATTGCTTAATTGCTGGCATCCCTCCAATATTCTGCCATAGATCTATGCCAATACAGTTACCAGATTTTGCAAAAAAAATTAAAACTTTATTGGTGCACTTCAATTTATTGCAAATAAATATTGTTGTACTACAATATATACATGTTGACAACAGTATGAATATCTTTGTCTCTATTAATGAACAGAGCACATGTAGTAATGTGGTTTGCCCCACTTGCAATTTTTCACCTGCCACTTCCCTCTTCTGCTCACTAGAACACAGTTTTTGCCTTTCTTCCTTGAAGTGGGAGGGAGGCCTCGCTTCCAGTTTGTGAAAGACAAATGTTCTCCTCCAGCCCAATTCCATTTGCCTGGGCTGATTCGGTCATTGAGTCCTGAAGAATTGAATTAAAGTAAATAACTGTCAGTGGTTGATGGCAGGTTGTTTAGATCCAGACTGACAAATTTCTATTGGATGAGTAGACTAGATTGTAAAAAAAATCTTTGATGTAAAAAAATCTTTGATATAGAAACTTTTAAAAAGCTGTCAGATATAAGCAATCTATAATTAGCAGACCAGATTTAGGACCCAAAATCAGCATTGCGCCATCAAGATTAAATTACTCTTTATTATTGGATGTCAACATACTTACCAGTATTGCTGAGAAAAGATACCTGATGTCAAACATTTTTTGTCCTATACTCATCAGGACAGAATTATAAGAACACCAAATATCAAAGAGAACAATATATATTCATAGATTATAGTTTCATAGATTCATAGATTCTTACAATGCAGAAAAGGCCCTTTAGCCCATTGAGTCTGCATCGACATCAAAGGTGCACTAATCCCAATTTCCTGCACTTGTCCTATATCTTTAAATGTTATGATATCTCAAGTGCCCAAACAAATATTTTTTTTAAAGGTTGTAAGGTTTCCGGCCTCCACTGCCTTCCCAGGCAGTGCATTCCATATTTCCACCACCTGCTGCGCAAAACCTTTTTTTCCCAAATCGCCTCTGAATCAACCATCCCTTACCCTCAAACTATGCCCTCTCATGATTGACCTCTCAACCAAGGGGAACAGGTCCTGCCTAGCCGCCTTGTCCATACCCCTCATAATCTTATGCAGCTCAATCACATCCTGCCTCAGTTGTCTCTGCTCTAAAGAAAACAATCCAAGCCTATCTAGTATCTCCTTATAGCACAATTTCTCCATCCCAGGCAGCATTCTAGTGAACCTCCTCCACCCCCTCTGGTGCAATCACATTCTTCCCATAGCGAGTGTTTGAGACAAAGAATGCTGATTGGTTGGCAAATGGATTTGAACACCATGAAGATTGCATCAGGGAACAGTTGACCCTAAACTTTTGGTATTACCTCCTCATTTCAAATTGAATTTGCTCTTAATTGCTTGCTGAATTTGCCTATAAAAACACCTACTTGGCTCAAATGCAAACAATACTGGCCTCACCAGTAATACTCATATAATTGACCTTAAATTTCATCATAATTATCTTCATTCATTACTCACAGCACTCCCACGTTTTCATTTCATTTTTACTTCTTGAGCCCCATCCTCCCTTTTCCATACCCTTGAAGTGGCTTTGATACTTATTCTTGTCCCAGAAAGAGATCAGCTCAATTCTGTCTTTTGTGAGATTGTCAAGAGTGACAATTGCTCAACATGAGAACTGTCAGTAAGCAGGTACTGCTATTGTAGCTGTTCATGTGACAGATACACTGCAAAAACTTTGGCACAAAATTGGAATGATGCATGTGTAACATCATGACTGATATATTTTAGCTTTGCTTTCGAATATTGTCTGTGTTTTTGTTTGTAAAGTTTAGAGCATCTTCCAAGAGGTCCAGTTCCTGAAGTAATTAGGAACATACTGATCTCAAAGATGTGCTGGTACACACCACTGTATTGATTGCTTTCGTTTCTCACCACAACATTACCAGGAATGAGGAACAAGCTGATAGAATTTTAAAAGTGCTATATTTTACGTGACTTTTCTACTTCATTTGTTATTGATAATGAAAAGAAAAAATGACTAACATAGTATCGGGTAAGGATGCTAACTCATTCCCTGCACATTACTGCTCCTCTCCATTGCTGCCCATCCTTGCCCTATTAACTTCAATACTTCTCCAATTTCTTAACTGATGATTGAGTGAAGAAAGGGAGGGTGTGTTGGAAACTATAGGATGGGGATTGACTGTAATTCATTACAATATTTGTGCTAATTGTAGTTATTAAGTGCTTTAAAGTTAGTGAAATCTTACAGCCATTTATTCATGTTATTTATAAGCTTATCTGAGTTGCTGGGTAATGTCAAACTATGAACTGAGGTTTCATACAGGAAATTATAACATAGTAACATTCATTGATTGCCAATATCACCCAGAAAAGGAATAGTTGTACCAATCCAGAAAGAACGTCTTCCACTGAAGTCCCACAACCATTCCATGTCTTGTTTTGAAATGACACTCACAAGGTTGCCATGGTACCTGTAGAGATAATTAAGGACTCCACTAAAATAGAAACTTTCAGTAAGCATTAAAATTCAAAAGAAATGATCTGAATGGTGAGCAGTGGCAATAGAAGCAATTGTCAATTAGCATTTTTCATGAAAGGTTGTTCCTAATTACACTGTTTGAGATCACACCAGCTTTCAACTAACTTTGGCTGCATTGGTGGCAGTAAAAAGGTGAGAACAGAATAGCTGGTTATGTTGACCACTACTGCCTGGCAGGGAAGAGCAGTGAAATCAGATATCAAGTGGTGCAATTCAGCATCACCATGTTATTGTTTATGGTTTACTGCTGCTCTGTGAATGTATCATTAGCAACAGCTCAGGAATGATTTATTTTCCCAGATAACAATAGCTAGAAACTGTAACATGAGATACGTAAAAATAGTTCGTAAGCTTGGAAGGTCTTTTACGATTGAATCTGCCATTTCTGTTGTTGCATCTCCAACTACAGGCACTGGAGAAGGATCACCGTACTCAAAACATTAACTCTGCTTACTCTCGAAAGATATTGCCAGACTTGCTGAGATTCTCCAGCAATTTCTGATTTTGTTAGATACACTGGTTGGTTGTTCACAGATCACGTCAATGGTAGCAAATTAATGGAGAGATGAGATGATAGGGCATGCCCGGACAGACTGGTAATTCACAAATTCAAAGTAATCCTAAAATTAAATGGTCTAAATTAATATTTTACACATACATCCTTGAGGAGCGATTACTGAGCTTGACGCTTAATGCTAACTGGTGCTAACTTCTGCTGAACGTTATCATGCAAGAATTACAAGCAACCTAATATACATTATTCAGATGAAGTCTTACTTTTGCTTGCAGGCTCTGGCTGCTCCAGTCCAGGTTGCCTTTTGTTTAGTGTTTAGATAATAGCATCTATCATCATGGTAGGTCCACCCAAAGGGACATTTTTTGAAACTTAGCTCCTAAAATTTAAAACAAAAACTGAGATTGTCAATATTCATTCTTTTGGTACATGTTTTCTGCTTATCACACCAACATGCAGCAATGACAAATTCAGTGCCTGGTTGAAGTATTGGTTTGAGGAAACACCCTCAAAAAGCTTTGTCTTTCAAGTGGCTGAGAATTTGGCAATGATCAATGTTGCCTTGAAGGCAGTGATTACAGAGTTGGAAACAAGCAATCTTCACCTTGCAATTAGTGAAGGCACCAAGTATGGCCAGAACAACGCCACTGCAAACTTTGCATAGATAAACTGTAATGAGGAAAATCAACGCCATTAGTGAAATAACCAGCAGAACTAGCTTTTGCCAACAGAAGCAACAACTATACAAAGATTAAACTAGATGCGAGATCAGAAGCATTACTAAACTGCATCCTTCCTGCATGACATATTTCCTTCTTAAAAATGTGGCAGTATCACACAGCTTCCCCCTCTTTAAAGATTTTTTCTCGCATTCAGGAACAAAGCAATTGGTCATGAAGATGTATTTCTGTTATTCCAGGCAAGTTAAAATATGGTTCAGAAAATAATAAAATTAAATAAGAGCAAATAATCTCAAAATGGTGAGACAATGATATCATAGTATTCTCACTGGACTAGTAATCAAAAAGAAAAACCAAAAGAACTGCAGATGCTGTAAATCAGGAACAAAAACAAAGTTGCTGGAAAAATTCAGCAGGTCTTGCAGCATCTGTGAAGGAAAAAACAAGAACAAAGAAAATTACAGCACAGGAACAGGCCCTTCGGCCCTCCAATCCGTATCCTCTATCTAAACCTGTCACCTATTTTCTAAGGATCTGTATCCCTCTGCTCCCTGCCCATTCATGTATCTGTCTAGATACTTCTTAAATGACGCTATCGTGCCCGCCTCTACCACCTCCCTGGCAATGCGTTCCAGGCACCCACCACCCTCTGCGTAAAGAACTTTCCATGCATATCTCCCCTAAATTTTTCCCCTCTCACCTTGAAATCGTCACCCCTAGTAATTGAGTCCCCTATTCTGTGAAAAAGCTTCTTGCTATCCACCCTGTCTATACCTCTCATGATTTTGTAGACTTCAATCAGGTCCCCCCCCAACCTCCGTCTTTCTAATGTAAATAATCCTAATCTACTCAACCTCTCTTCATAGCTAGTGCCCTCCATACCAGGCAACATCCTGGTGAACCTCCTCTGCAGCCTCTCCAAAGCATCCACATCCTTTAGGTAATGTGGCGACCAGAACTGTATGCAGTGTTCCAAATGTGGTTGAACCAAAGTCCTATACAACTGTAACATGACCTGCCAACTCTTGTACTCAATGCCCCGTCCGATGAATGAAAGCATGCCGTATGCCTTGTTGACCACTCTATCGACCTGCGTTGCCACCTTCAGGGTACAATGAACCTGAACACTCAGATCTCTCTGTGCATCAATTTTCCCCAGGGCTTCTCCATTTATCGTATAGTTCGCTCTTGAAATGGATCTTCCAAAATACATCACCTCGCATTCGCCTGGATTGAACTCCATCTGCTATTTCTCCGCCCAACAACAGAGTTAGCTTTTCGGGTCCGGAGACCCTTCTTCAGAACTGAGCATGTCTATGTGTGTTGGAAATTTTGTTTTACATACTTGACTGAGTTTTTTGAAGAGGTGATTGAAATACCTCCACAGAGGCCAGAATGCCGTCGCCAAGTCACCCTTTATTTACACGTGGGCATACTTGACACTGATCCAGCTTCCTCAGAGTGATCAGAACTTCTGACACTCCTGTTTATATGTCAGTTAGGACCCCCTGACTGGACCAGACCAACAGCCCCAGTCAGGGAACTCAAATTCTATGAGATCCATATGGCTGACCTTATTACAATCTCTATATCCTTCCCCTTGTGCACTTAAGAAAGACTGTAATATTTGAACTTTTAGCTTTATTTCCTTTCTTGCTACTTTAAATGAGAAAGGTGTCACTCTACCATAATTACTGCAATGTTTAACTTCTACCTTTGTTCTTTCTTTCTGTCTTGTTGTTAAGAATCTATACCTAGGTACTTGTACCTAAGATGGTGCCTTTTGTGGCTACATTATACACTTTTCACTGCACTCCTGTACTTTTGTACTTGTGAACACACTCTTTTGAGCTGTCTTATTGACAAAGACACATGGATAAAATACTAAAGCAAGTGTTTGTCAGCAAAAGGCTACATCATGGTGGGAACAAAGAAGACTAATTTTAAAGCTTTAGTCCTGCCCTCTCTATGCTACAACATGCAAGGGTCTGGAATAGGGTGCATACAGTCTGAATAACCAGGGCCTATATCTCTAGGGGGACCAGGCTTTATGGCTGATTAGCCAATCATTTAGGATTGTCAATGTCCAAAGCAGTCAATCTGGCATTTAGATTATCCCGATCGATGAACTAATTGTTCTGAACCAGAGCAATGATTGGCCAAGTAGCAGGATGTGGCAGTTCAAAAATCACTCCCTTCTTGTACACCTCGAGGGATTCTGTCTGGGCTTTAATACTGAACATTGCTAAATCTTCATTCTTCTTTGGACATAGCTACAGGTTGTGCAAGGGACGGTTGGTTGCAGTTGATTCTAAGCATGTTCCCCTTGTTCACCTCTTACACCAGTAAGGGGGCAGGCTCCTCCTCAGGATTGACAGTGAGTAACATTTGTCAATAAAATTAAGATGGTAATGTGGGCAGAATCATACCTGCCAAAGGCAGAATGACAGGGATGTGGGTGAGACACAGGAAACTAGAGACAGAAGAAGTCTTCACAAAATAAAAGTATTTAGCATGAAGGTGAGAATATTTGCCAGTTAACCATATTAGGACATTAAATATGTCAGCAAAAAGGACAAGAGATGCTGATAATCTGAAAGGAGTTCCAGTACTGGGTTCATATCACATCGATTGAAATCAACAAACTCCTTCCTAATCACAGACAAAATTGTGTGTTTCAACGCATTTACGATCATGTGAAAGAAACCAATAATCTTACCACTAGCAATAGGGTAAGAATTTTCAACAAGTGGTCTGGGGTAGGAAGTAATTCTTAGTTGCTTTAAAAAAAACCAACCTGTTGTACAGGAATCTGTTGTGAAACTGGCACTGTTGTGACTTTGACAGTCTGTGGAAGATTTGTTTTACCAGGAAAATGCTGTTGACTCTGGCTGGTGATCACCACTTTTGCTCTTCTATTGGACATTGAATGACTGTGGTCACCTCCAACTTTCAGTGCTATTAATCCATGGTACTAAACAGGAAGAGAGGAATTAATCAGAAAATTGTATACAGCGTTAATATGACAAAGCAATACATCAAGCTCAGATCCAGAATAAAATATTCCCCAGTTTACTCATTTCAGGGCAACATATTAGAAAAGAAATCCAATGTAAAATTTCCAGAAAAAAAACAAGTCTCAATGTGCTCAGAGATAGTAAGAACTGCCGATGCTAGAGTCAGAGACAACACAGTGTGGAGCTGGAGGAACACAGCAGGCCGGGCAGCTTCAGAGGAGTAGGAAAGTTGATGTTTCAGCCCGACCTGAAACTTAAACTTTCGTAAGTCTCAATGTGCTTCCAGATTTAAAAATGGCAAATGCCACTCCATTATTTCACAGAAGGCAGAAAAGAACAAATAACTCTGGACTCATCAGGTTAAATTAACTATAGAGAGGATACTGGAATCTATCATCAGAGACAAGTTGGACTACCCACTGAATAAAAAGTTAACTCTGATTTTTCCTTCACAGATGCTGCCAGACCTATTGAGCTTTTCCAGCAACTTCTGAGTACTTCGTGATTTTCTAGCCCATATAACATAACACAAAAAAGTCATGTCCTTGTTGAGATAGACATCTTGAATTTTACTTTCAACACTATTGCTTGGCTCCAATATCAAAGACAAGCAGAATGCCATACTTATTGATGTCATTCTTTATTTGCTTGTGGAATGTGGGCATTGTTGCCTGGCAAGCATTTATTGCCTGTCCTTAGATGCCCTTGAGAAGATGGTGGTGAGCTGCCTTCTTAAACCACTGCAGTCCACATGCTGTAAGTTGACCCACAATGCCCTTAGGGAGGGAATTTTGCGACTGTACATTACATACACATAACTGACTGATTTAAGCCATGGCACTGACTCCATTACAAAGAGACAGTAACTGAGGGGAAGGTGGATACCATTATACTGGAATGTCACATGTCACAATGTCATGTACTTAAAGGTACAGGCCTGACTGGTCTGGAATTCAATGCCATTATACAATACTCACCACTGCCCGCTGTTCACACATTACAATTAAGAAGTTCTGTCGGAAACAGCTCACCAAGAAAGCTGTGCCCTGCAGCAATGACATTCTGCAGTCAGCCTTAACATGATGATAGTGGGACTTCTGCCCCTCACTGGGGAGGAAGTCTCATCCCTGGAAGCTTTCAGTCAATCTGATTGGCCAACAACTCCAATCAGCATGAGAAGTTATGTAGATTGCAGCACAATGTTCCAAAAAGTCACAGACAAAGCAAGTAAGTGACATTAAGATCCCTGAAGCAAAGTCAGGAAGTGACAGGTTATGTATTGTTAGATGTTGGGAGTTTGTGAACACAGTCACCTAAAATAGGTATGAGTTCTGAGATAGGATCACTGGACCCAAATGTTATCTCTGATTTCTCTCCACAAATGCTGCCAGATCTGCTGAGCTTTTCCAGTAATTTCTGTTTTTGTTTCTGATATCCAGCATCTGCAGTTCTTTCAGTTTTTATCTAATATAGGCAATTGGCCATTTAGATGGAATTTTTAGATACCTTATTTAGTTTGTTAAGGAGCAGAATGTTCTAAAAAGACACAGATAAAGCAATCTCATTAAAGTTGTGGAGGCAGTATCCTGCTCTCCTGCTGAAGTGATAGGGAACTCTTCCCTGAATCTTCCTTCAATCTCGTCCAGTCCATATTCTTTCTGAAGAAGACAGCTCCCTAACTGCCCTCCAGTTCTGAGCACTTGTTGATATGCTACATTTCTAGTAGCTGGTAACTTATGCTGTGTCAATCACCCATTTCAATCCTTTCAGTCAAAAAGGACAAGGCAGCTACTCATCATGTCAGGATGAACATTCTCCACTTCTCCACCGTCATCTGAAGATTAGTTATCATTAGTTATCATTAGCAAAACTTCCTATTTCCAAACACTGCAATGATAAGAAGGTACATATGGTGCCAGATAAATCTTTTTGTCATCACAAAGTGACAACTATTAATGGTACACCAGAGGAATGGAAAGGTTTTAAAAAACAATAAAAGATGACCAAAAAACATAATGAGAAAGGAGAAAATAAACTTTGAGGGAAAACTTGTAAGTAATATCAAGACAGAACGCAAGAGCTTCTAAAAATAAATAAAAAGGAAGAGAAAAGCTAAAATAAATACAGTCTCTTTAGAGAATGAGGTTGGGAAATCCTAATGGGGAATTATTGGGGAGAGGAATTGGAATAAATACTTCACACCCATCTTCTCAAAAGAAGACTCTAATAGCATACTAAAATAACTAAATATTCAAGAGGAAAAAAGGACAAGAATTAAAATAATAACTTTCACTTGAGAAAAAATGCCACAAAAGCTATTGGGCGTAAAGATCCCTGAAGTGAATAGGATGTATCCTCGGATATTAAAGGAAATAGCTACAGAGATAGTGGATGTACTGATAGTAATTTTCCAATAATCCTCAGATTCTGGAAAAGTCCCATAGGACTGGAAAACAAGCAATATAACACATTTATTTAAAAAGGGAAAAAACAAAAAACAGGTTAACTACAGGCCAGTTTATGTCTGATATTGGTAAAACATTAGACTATATTGTAAACAATGCAATAGCATTTGAAAATGCATAATATGATCAAGCAGAGTCATGTCCCTTTTAGATCTTTCTCCTCTCATCTTACAAGTATGTCCTGTAGTCTTGAAATCCCCACCCCGGGAAAAGATATCTTATCTATACCCCTCATGATTTTATAAACCTCTATAAGGTGACCTCTCAACGTTCTACACTCCAATGAAAAAAGTCCCAGCCTATCCGGCCTCTCCTTATAACTCAAACCCTCCATTTGCTGCAACAGCCTAGTAAATCTGCTCTCAACCCTCTCCAGCTTAATAATATCCTTCTTCTAAGAGAGAAATACAGTGCTCCAGAAAAGGCCTCACCAACGTCCTGTACAACCTTAACAATAATGTCCCAACTCCTATATGCAAGGGTCTGAGCAATGAAGGCAATGTCCTTTCCCACCACTAAGATAAAACATAATTTTTGAAGTCTAGGAGATTAAAAGGAGCAAAAACATTATTTATTCCATAAACAGATACTATAAGCGGTAACTGGAATATAGTTTTCACGTAAAGGATTTTTATCCTTATTCTACACAAAGGCACAAACTCTTACGCAATCAATTGTCCACTGCTGGTTGGACAAGTAACTGTGTCTCCACGCTCAACTTTCACAATAGATCATTAAAAATCACAAATATCCAAAATGAATGCTGCCCAAATGAATAAACGGGACCTTTGCTGGATTCTTATCAATTGATGATGCCTTTACAATTCTCATTGCTCTGTGAAGCATATGATGGAGGAAGTCAAAACAGTACCATTTTGGATACTGTTGGGGGAGATGGATCACCAGGGGAAGGCGGCTGCAGCCAGGTTCATGGCACCGTGGCTGGTTCTGCTGCACAGGAGGGCAGGAGAAAGAATGGCAGAGCTATATTGATAGAGGGTTCAATTGTAAGGGGAATAGGTAGGCTTTTCTGCGGCCGCAAATGAGAGTTCAGGATGGTATGTTGCCTCCTTGGTGCAAGGGTCTAGGATGTCTTACAGCAGCTGCAGGACATTCTGGAGGGGCTTGGTTAACAGCCAGCTGTCATGGTGCATATAGGTCCAAATGTTTTAGGTAAAAAGCAGCATGAGGTCCTACAAGTTGAATTTAGGGAATTGGAAGTGAAACTAAAAAGTAGGACCTCAAAGGTAGTAATCTTGGGATTGCTACCAGCACCATGTACTAGTCAGAGTAGGAATGGCAAGATAGCTAAGATGAATACGTGGCTTGAAGGATGGCGCAAAAGGGAGGGACTCAAATTCCTGGGGCATTGGAACCGTTCTAGGGGAGATGGGATCAGTACATACTGGACAGTCTGCACCTGGGCAGGACTGGAACCAATGTCCTGGGGGAATGTTTGCTTGTGTTGTTGGGGAGGGTTTAACTAATATGGCAGGGGAATGGGAATCAATGCAAGAAGTCGGAGGGCAGGAAAGTGGGGAAAGGAACAAAAGACAGTTAAGGGAAAAGTCAAAGTGGAAGGTAGAGAAACCAGAGACAAAAGTCAAAAAGGGCCACATTACACCATGATTCTAAATGGGCAAAAATATTTTTTTAAAAAATGAGTCTGAAGGGTCTGTGTCTCACTGTGAGGAGCATTTGTAATAAGATGGATGAATTACCTGAACAGACAGTTACTAATGGATATGATGTAATTGGGATCATGGAGACCTGACTCCAGGGTGACCAAGGGTGGCAACTCAATGTCCAGGGTTATTCAATTTTCAGGAAAGATAGACAGAAAGGAAAGGGACATGGGGTAGCGTTGCTGGTTAAGGAGGAGATTAAAACAGTAGTAAGGAAGGACATTAGGCTGGAAGAAGTGGAATCTGTATGGGTGGAGCTGCGGAACACCCAAAGGGAAAAATATGTTAGTGGGAGTTGTGTACAGACCATTAACCAGTAGTTGTGATGTTGGGGAAATTATTAAACAGAAAACTAAAGATGCATGCAGTGAGAGGTACAGCAATTATTATGGGTGGCTTCAATCCACATGTTGATTGGACTCACCAAACTGGTAGCAATGCGATGGAGGAGGGATGGTTTCCTTGACCAATGTGTCAAAGAACAACTAGACAGCAAGCCATTCTAGACTAGGTATTGTATACTGAAAGAGGATTAATTAGCAACATTGTAGTGAGAGATCCTTTGGGGAGAGTAACCATAATATGGTGGAAGACATCATTAAGATGGAGAATGACACAATTAAATCTGAAACCAGAATCCTGAATTTAAAGAAAGCTAACTTTGATGGTATGATGCATGCTTTGGCTGGGATAAGCTGGCTAAGGATACTTAAGGGGTTAATGGTGAATAGGCAATGGCAGACATTTAAAGAACATATGAATGAACTTGAATAATTGTACATCCCTAACTGGCATAAGAGAAAATCA